CGCTACCCCCAGCGGCCCAAGAGGCCTTCCAGGCATGGCTGGGCCTCGAGGGAGAGGAGGCGCCCCTGCAGCAGGTGGCAGCTCAGCAGCAGCAGCGTCGCGTGGTGCAGGCGGCTGCGAGCATTGGCCAACAACGAGGCCGACGGCAGCAGTGCAGCAAGGGACGGCGGGCAGCGCCCCGCGGGCCGCCATGCTGGCCGCGCACGGCCTGGACGTGCAGGACCTCGCCGAGCAGGTGCTGCCCGCCAACGCCGCCGCGTAGGGCCGCCGCGACCGCCCGCGGCGCGGCCGCGGCCCGCGCCCTGGCGGCGTGAGCTCGGGCGAGTAGGCTGCTCGCCTGGAGTCGCCTTCATGGCCCCGCGAATCGAATCGAATCGACGACGACGACGACTAGGATGACGACGGGAACACGGCGCAGGATGACGACGACGACGAGGATGACGACGGGATGACGACGGTTTCCGAGCAGGAGGAGGAGGAGGACGACGATGATGACGACGATGCCGAGAAGAACGAGGTGGCTGGGCAGGAGGAGGAGGAGGAGGACGCCGACGACGACACGGACGGCGAAGAGAACGAGGGTGCCGAGGAGGTTGAGGAGGAGGACAACTGCGGCGACGACGACGACGGGAACGACGACTACGACAACGAGGACAGCGAAGAGAACGAGGTTGCCGAGCAGGGGTAGGAGGACGACGAGGACGGCGAGGAGAACGAGGGGGCCGAGCAGGAGGACCACCACGTCGTCGACAGCGAAGATAACGCGGGGTCCGAGGAGGAGGAGGTTGAGGAGGAGGGACGAGGACGTGGAGGAGAGGGATGACGACGACGACGCCGACGACGACGACGACGACGATGACGACGAGGACGAGGAGGACGACGACGACGACGACGACGACGACGACGACCACGACGAGCAAGGCGAAGAAAACGATGTTGCCGTGCAGGAGGAGGACGAAGGCGACGAGGACGGCGAAGAGTTCGAGGTGGCACCGGAGGAGGAGGAGGAGGTGGAGGAGGAGGACGACGACGACGACGACGAGGACGGCCAGGAGAACGAGATTGCTAAGCAGGAGGGGGAGGAGGACGACGACGACGACGAGGATGGCGAAGAGAACGATTCGGCCGAGTTGGATGAGGAGGAGGAGGAGGAGGAGGAGGAGGAGGAGGAGGAGGAAAAGGAGGAGGAGGAGGAGGAGGAGGAGGAGGAAGCGGACGACGACGACGACGACGACGACGAGGGCGACCACGACGACGACGACGACGACGACCATGACGACGAGGACGGCAAAGAGAACGAGGTTGCCGGGCATGTAAATGGGGATGCGACGACGAGGACGGTGAGGAGAACGAGGGGGCCGAGCAGGAGGAAAGCGACGACGACGTCGAAGCGGACGAGGGGGCCCAAGAGAACGAGGAGGAGGAGGAGGACGACGACGACGATGACGACGAGGACGACGAGGACGGCGAAGACGACGACGACGACGAGCACGGCGCAGAGAAATATGCTGCCGAGTAGGAGGGGGAGGACGACGACGAGGACGTCGAGGGGAACAAGGATGCCCATCAGGAGGGGAACGAGGAGGAGGACGACGACGACCACCACGACGACGACGACGAAGAGGAAGAGGACGGCGACGAGAACGAGTGGGCCGAGGAGGGAGAGGAGGAGGAGGAGGAGGAGGAGGAGGATGATGAGGAGGAGAACGACGACGACTATGACGGCGGCGGCTGCTGCGGCGGCGGCGGCGGCGACAAGAACAAGGTTGCCGAGCAGGAGGAGGAGGACGACGACGACGACGAGGAGACGAGGACGGCGACTAAGACGATGGGTGCCAAGCAGGAAGAGGACGACGACGACGACGACGACGAGGAGGGCGACGACGACGACGACGACGAGGACGGCGAGGACGACGAGGACGGCGAGGAGAGCGAGGTGACTGAGCAGGAGGGCGACGACGACGATGACGAGAAAAGGAGGAGAAAAAAAGGTGGACGACGCCGACGACGACGAGGAATACGAGGACGGCGAGGAGAACGATGGGTGCCAAGCAGGAGGAGGACGTCGACGACGAGGACGGCGACGACGACGACGACGTCGACGGCGACAACGGCGACGACGACGACGACGACGACGACGACGACGAGGACGGCGAGGACGGCGAGGACGACGAGGACGGCGAGGAGACCGACGGGGCAGAGCAGGATGAGGACGACTGCGGCGACGACGGCCACGGCGAGGAGAACAAGAGGGCCGAGGAGGAGGAGGAGGAGGAGGAGGACGACGACGACAACGACGACGACGACGACGATGACAACGATGACGAGGCCGAGGACGGCGAGGAGAACGAAGGGGCCGAGCAGGTGGAGGAGGAGGAGGACGACGACGACGACGACGAGGCGAACGAGGGGGGCGAACAGGATAACGACGCCGACGGCGAAGACTGCAAAGGAAACAAGGGGACCGAGGAGGAGTAGGAGGAGGAGGACGACGACGACGACGGCGAGGATAACGAAGGGGCCCCAAAGGAGAAGGAGAGGGAGGCAGAGGAGGACGACGACGAGGATGTGGACGGCGAGGAGTTCAGGAGGAAGAGGAGGAGGCGGAGGGAGAGGAGGAGGAAGAGGAGGAGGAGGAGGACCACGACGAGGAGGAGGAGGTCGGCGACGATTTCGACGACGACTACGACGACGACTACGACGACTACGACGACGACGAGGACGACGACGACGACGACGAGGACGTCGAAGAGATCGGGGGGGGCGAGCAGGGGGAGGACGACGACGACGACGACGAAGACGGCGAGGAGACCGAGGGGGCCGAGGAGAAGGAAGACGACGACGACGAGGACGGCGACGACGCCGACGACATTGACGGCGACGAGAACGAGGTGGGGGGAGCCAGCAGGAGGAGGAGGAGGATGAGGACGTCGACGACAACGAAAACCAAGACGACGACGACGACGAGGACGCGGGCGAGGGCGAGGACGAGGACGACGAGGACGATGACGACGACGACGAGGACGACGCCGAGGACGACGCCGAGGCCGACGGGGCCGATCAGGAGGACGACGACGACGACGAGGAAGACGAGGACGGCGAGGAGAACGAGGGGGCCGAGCAGGAGGAGGAGGAGGAGGAGGAGGAGGAGGAGGAGGAGGAGGAGGAGGAGGAGGAGAGGGAGGAGAGGGAGGACGACGACGACGAGGACTGCGAAGCGAACGAGGGGGGCCGAAGAGGAGGAGGAGGAGGCGGAGGAGGACAACGACGACGATAACGAGGACGACGACGAGGATGACTACGACAACGACGACGACGACGACGACGACGACGACGATGACGACGACGGCGACGACGACGACGACGACGACGACGACGACGACGACGACTGGGGCGGCGAAGAGACCGATGATGCCTTGCAGGTGGGGGACGACGACGACGACGACGTGGACGACGACGACGACGAGGACGACGACGACGACGACGACGACGAGGAGAGCGAGGGGTCCGTGCAGGACGAGGACGACGACGCCGACGACGCGGACGTCGCGGACGAGGCCGAGGAGGAGGAGGAGGAGGAGGAGGACGACGACGACGACGACGAGGTCGACGACGTCGACGACGTCGACGACGTCGACGACGACGACGACGAGAACGAGAACGAGGTTGCTGAGCAGGAGTAGGAGGACGACGACGAGGACGGCGAGGAGAACGAGGGGGCCGAGCAGGAGGAGGAGGACGACGACGACGATGCGGACAGCGAAGAGAACGAGGGGGCCGACGAGGAGGAGGAGGAGGCCCAGGCGGAGGCGGAGGAGTAGGAGGATGACGACGTCGACGACGATGACGACGACGACGACGTGGGCGTCGAAGAGAAAGAGGGTGCCGAGCAGTAGGAGGAGGACGACGACGACGACGACGACGAGGACGGCGAGGAGAACGAGGGGGCCGAAAAGGAGGAGGAGGAGGAGGAGGAGGAGGAGGAGGAGAACGACGAGGATGACTACGACGACGACGACGATGACAACGACGACGACGAGGAGGACAGCGAGGAGAACGATGCTGCAGAGCAGGAGGAGGAGGAGGAGGAGGACGACGATGACAACGAGGAGGACGACGATGACGACAACGAGGACGGAGAGGAGAACGAGGGGGCGAAGGAGGAAGAGGAAGAGGGGAAGCAGGAAGACGACGACGACGACGAGGACGACGACGACGACGACGACGACGACGACGAGGGCGGCGAAGCGAACGAGGGGGCCGAGCTTGAGGAGGGGGAGGAGGAGGAGGAGGAGGAGGAGGAGGAGGAGGAGGAGGAGGAGGAGAGGAGGAGGAGGATGAGGAGAGGGGAGGAGGGACGACGACGACGACGACGACGACGACGACGACGACGACGACGACGACGAGGACGACGACGACGAGGAGAACGAGGGGCCGAGCAGGAGGAGGAGGACCTGAGGAGGAGGAGGAGGACGACGACGACGAGGACGGCGAGGAGAACGAGGGGCCGAGCAGGGGGAGGACAACGACGACGACGTGGATGGCGAGGAGAACGTTCGGGCCGAGTAGGAGGCCGACGTCGGGGACGACGGGGACGGCGAGGAGAACGAGGGGACCGAGCAGGAGGAGGACGAGGACGTCGACGAGGACGGCCGACGAGGACGGCCAGGACGACGACGACTACGAGGACGACGACGACTACGGCGACGACGATGGCCACGATGAGGACGACGACGACGACGACGACGACGATGACGACGACGACGACGACGACGACGACGACGACGACGACGACGACGACTTCGACGACGACGACGCCGACGCCGCCGCCGACGACGACGACGCCGCCACCGACAAGAACGACGACGAGGACGAGGACGAGGACGACGACGGCGACGACGACGGTGAGGGCGAGGACGGTGAGGAGGACGGCGAGGAGGATGACGCCGGCGACGACGGCGAGGAGAGCACGAGGACGAGGACGGCCCGGTCGCTCCGAGGAGATCTTGCTGGACCTCGCGGCGCGGCAGGCGATAGCGAGCGCCGTCAAGGCGCCGCTTCAGGTTGACGGACGTGTCCGTCGGCTCCCGCAGGTTTTCGGACGTTTCCCGGCGGTCTGCTGACGTTTTCGTCGGTTCCCAAAGGTGGTTCTTTCCCTTGGCGTGTTCGGACGTTTCCGAACGTCTTCGCTTCGCGTGCTTCGTTCCGTCGGGTCCCGCGGGTTTTCGGACCTTCCAGGAAGTGTTCCAGCCTCGGGGCGCTGCTCGGCAGCTTCGCCTCGCCGAGGGCTTCCTGGGGGGCGCAGGGATCGCCCCGAACGGCCGCCAGACACCCGAGGCCATCGCCCGAAAACCAGGGGGCTACGGCCCAGATCTCCGACGAGCTGACCTGTTCAATCTCGATGGTGTCAAGGAGTTCGGCATCCGGAGCACGGGCCCCTGGGGCCATGGACAAAGGAGCACGGGCCCTGGGGCCAGGAACAGAGATGCACGGGCCCTGGGGCCATTAACAACGCATCCGGTGTGCAAAACTTGCCCTGGGGAAGGGGTCTTGCGCTCTGGGGCTGCGGATTGAACAAATCAGATCGGAGGATGTCTGAGGAAGGGGCGAGGAGGCGGAGGAGGGGGAGGACGCGGGGGAGGATCGGTTGATAAAAAACAAACGCGCCGGTTGTTCTTCCCTGCAGCCCGTTCCGGCCTCTGGGGCCGTCAGAAACCGATCCGGGGTGAAGAACTTACAAGGGTGGGTGTGGGAATGGTCTCGGGACGGATTTGGAGCGGGTGTTGATGTCTTCGAGGTTCGACGATCATGGTGTTCGGACGTTTTTCGCAGTTGTTGGCCCTCTGGGAGGCTGCTTCTCCACGACACGATTTGGATCCCCCTCAAAATCCCGGCCAAAGTACACCCCAAGGAAGATCACAGGAGCTGATGGACCAAGACTCCCTCGCGTCGTGAACAAATCATGCGATTCTGTAGGTAACCAAAAATCCCTGGGCAAGGGGTCGAGAGATCCGATGGCCAATCATCCTGCAGGAACGAAAACCAACTACGCTGGGGACCTGGGAGGAGGGAGCGGGGGCAGGAAAAATCAAGAGGCAGGAGGCAGGAGAAGGACGCAATTTGGGATGTCACTGGAAGCGGATTTTGCCACGATATATTATCTCAGTAGCCGGAGCAGCGGTTAGTCAGCCTTGCTTTTCTTTTGGCTACGGGCAACGGCTTGTAATCACCGTCCCGCCCAAACCACCGCGGCTATATCTTGCAGGAGATCCGTTTAAACCCCCGGCCTGTCCCGTCCCCCTCTCACTTCCATTCCCCGCCCCACATCGTCTCCCCCTCCCCTTTCCATCTCCCCCATTCGCCCTCCCCCTCCCTCTCCTATCCCACCCCTTCCCCAATCCTCCCCGCCTCCGGCCTCCCTTTGTTTTCTCCCTTCCGCCCTCACGTATTCCCCACTCCCCCCTCCCCCCTCCCGTATTCCCCATTCCCCCCTCCCCTATTCCTCACGTATCCCCGTGCCTCCCCCCCTCCCGTATTTCCCCACCCCTCCCCCGTCCGCTTGCTGTTGATCCTCCCCCGTCCAGACTATCCTCCCTGCCTCCCCCCCCCCTTCTCCCCCTTTCCTCCTCGTCGTGGCTCCCCGCGCCGTCCGTCCGCCGCATCCTCCCCCCCCTCTCCCCGAGATTTGGTATCTTTACGGCCCGCACGACACTTTGGAACTGAGACGGGTCACTTTACAACCAGCACGCGATCGAATTCCTTGGTTTTCCTTCGAGGGCGACCACCTTTACAACCAGAACAGCCATTTTTCCAACCAGAGCGACAACCTTACGACCCAGACGGGGCTCTTTGCAACCAGAATGGCCATTTTGCAGCCAGCCTTCAGAAGCAAGCAAGCGCTCTGCAGGGGCTTCTGAAGCTTTGAGCGCCTGCGCGCTTTGAAGAGGCATATGAGAGCCTGAGCGCTCTGCAGGGGCATCTGAGCGCCTGAGCGCTTTGCAGGGGCTTTTCAGCGCCTGAGCGCTTTGCAGAGGCATCTGAGTGCTTGAGCGCTCTGCAGAGTCGTCTGAGCCCTTGAGCGGTCTGCAGAGGCTGACGACGAGTACGACGAGGGCGAGGACGAGGAGGAGGAGGAGGAGGAGGCGGAGGAGGAGGAGGAGGAAAAGAAGGAGAAGGAGGCGGAGGAGGAGGAGGAGAGGAAGGAGGAGGAGGAGGAGGAGGAGGAGGAGGAGGAGGAGGAGCAGGGCGGAGGAGGGCGGAGGAGGGAGAGGATGAGGTTGAGAGGGAGGTGGTAGGAGGAGGAGGAGGATGAGGAGGAGGAGGAGGGAGGAGGAGGAGGAGGAGGCCGGAGGAGGAGGATGGAGGAGGACGGAGGGTGGAGGAGGTGGGAGGAGGGAGGAGAGAGGAGAGAGGAGGGGGAGAGGAGGAGGAGGATGGGGAGGAGTAGGAGGGACGAGGAGGAGGAGGATGGAGGAGGAGGAAGGGAGGAGTGAGGAGAGGGAAAGAGGAGGAAGAGGAGGAGGAGGGCGAGCAGGAGGGGAGGAGGAGGAGGGAGGAGGAGGAGGAGGAGGAGGAGGAGGAGGAGGAGGAGGACCAAGCCTAAGGAGGAGTCGGTGCCCACTCTCCCGCCGCGGGGGGCCTGGTCTCCACCTGAGGAGCCAGACCCCCCCGACCGTGAACTGGATGCAGTCGCCAGCTTTCCGGAACGGGGGCCCTGCGCTTTGCAGCTGCCTAGGGCCCCCGGCCGCGAGGCCGAGCGCGACGGACTTACCGATGCCGACGCCCAGCTCGCCTGTCACGTGCCCGGTTCGCGACCCGCGCGGGAGCCGCCGGCCACGGTCTGCATCTCCTCGAAATTGCTGGCCAGAGCGGCGCCATGTCCGCAGCTGCTCCGCGGCCTCGTCCGCGTGGGCGGCGCCGCCGCCGCGGGGCGGCGGGTGGCGCGGCCGCCTTTGCAGGCGGGGCAGGAGCAGGCGGCGGCGCCGCCAGCACGGCCACGGCCGTGCGGAGGAGGCTCTTAGCCGCGCGCAGCAGGCGCACCGCGTCGCGGCCGCCTGCGGGGGCGCGGGCCGCCAGCCCCGCGGCGGCGTGGACCGCGGGAGCGCGCCGCGCGCGCCCTCGAGCGGTGCCGCGCGGGCAGTCATCGCCGTACCAGGCGTCGGCGCGTCGGCGGCGGGGCCAGAAGCGAGCGCGCGTGAGCCAAGATGGCACTGGAGGAGGAGGAGGAGGAGGAGGAGGAGGAGGAGGAGGAAAAGGAGGGGGAGGACAAGGAAAAGGAGGTCCGTAGCCATTTTGGCTCAAGTTCCCAACGTCGCTCCCGCGCTAGGAGCTTGATTGCAGCCGAGGGAGGCAACCGACTTTCAGGCAGGGAGCTGCGCGCTGCCGCCTTTCTCGAGCCACGGCAGCAGCGTGCCGTCAGTGCAGATGGGCAAGGATGGATACATTGTGCCGAAGACGCCCAAGGCCGACTGCTGGAAGTGCCAGGCCTGCGGGTGCCATCGCAACGAGGCGTGGTGGGCGTGGTGCAGGCATTGCGGCCCCAGGCGCGGCATCCCTTCCTTCGCGGCGCCGCGGCGGGACTACAGGCCGCCTGGCGCTTGGAGTCATGGCCCTCCTCAGCGCGCTCATCGTGGGAAGGGTTCCGATCAGGGAGGCGAGCCCGCTGGTCCGCCGCGTCAACCTGGCCCCCAGTTGGAAGCTTCAGGGTGGGCCGGTGAGGGGCCCAAGCCAGCGGCGCCAGGCCAGTTATCTGCCGCAGACCTTCCTCGGCTTAAGGAGCTGGTGTCCACGTTCACGGCCCTGGGCGACGCGCAGCAGCCCAAGTTCCACAAGGGCGTTGTGGAGCGGCTGGAGGCCGGCAGCAAGCCTGCAAGACCGCCTTCGCATGGCGCTGCCAAGCATGCTGCCGAGCAGGCGCGCCACCACCTCGACAAGGCGGCGCAGTACGCCGAGAAGGTGGGGGCCCAGCTGCGCGAGGCCAAGCAGAAGGCGGTCACAGCTCACAGGGAGCACACGCACTGCCAGGAGATCTTCCCCCGCACGGCGCGCAAGCTGCCCAGCAAGGTCATGCCCTGGACCTGGACCTGGGCCTGCTTCTCGAGGGCGGCGACGTGGAGCTGGGCGGCAGGGGCGTCTTCGGCCTGCCCGATGAAGACGCCGAGCTGCCCGCGACTGAGAGGGAAGAGCTTTCGGCGCGCAAGCAGCAGGCCCTCGGCGTCTTCAGGGAGGCGGCGAAGGAGGCCTTCGGCGAGGCCAAGGAGAAGGCAGCGACTCTGACTGAGGACCAGCGTGCCTTCAACAAGCGGATGGTTGAGTCCAAGCGGCGCAGGGTGGACACCCAGCAGCCTGCTTCGGCGTCCGAGGCAGCTGCCGATGGCGCTGGGGGCTCCGCCGCAGCAGCATCGTGCGCAGCGAGCACTCCACTGGCATCAGGACCGTGGGCTGCTTCACCTGCCAAGATCGACCTCACCAAGGTGGATAGCGCAGCTGAGGCCCAGGCTGTTCCCGACTCTCCTAAAGAGGCAGATGAGCTTCTTGAGAAGGCTCGTACTGAGGCCCGCCAGTCGTCGTCTGTCTAGCATTACGGTGCAGCCGTTTGTTTTGGTTGGTAATGGCAGTATTTCGAGTGATGACTCCTCGGTATGCGGTCCTGCTCTACGAAGATTAAGTACAGGGGAAAGCGGGGGAAGCGATGGCCCCCCCCCGCCTGCTCGTCCTTCCACTGCGTCTGACGAGGAAAAGATGATCGGCGTGAATTGTTCCAGTTCAGTTTTTTTGTTTGCGGAGATGCTGCGGGGAGCCACGTGCAATCCCCCCTTCGCGCGGGGGCGCCCACCTTTATTCCACGGCAGGGTATCGAGCGCAGCAAAGGCACGGATGTTGCAGGTTTGGCCAGCAAGGCAGGGGCCGCCCATGCCCCTCCTCCTGTCCGCCCACGCGAGTACAAGGCAGAGCGCAGCGCCCTCGCCACCTGGAGCGCGAACACCACGGCGCGGGGGCCCGCCCTTGGCCCATGCCCAGTCGAGGGGGCAGGTCGAGAAAGCAGGCAACC